CGGCTGTTTGCTCCCACGCGTGGGCAGCGTGGCCAGCTGCCCCGCAGCCCAGTGGTGCCTGGGACTGGCCTGCCGGCCTCCAGAGCACAGCCCGAAAGGCAGAGCTGCTCTACAAAGCTCCCACGGAGATTTGCAGATGAAAAAGAGAGAAAGGCGCAGCTGAAATAACAGGTTTTTAATTGCTTTGCGGCTCTATTAGCATTGCTTTCGCATACGTTTCTAGCTCTGCAGAGCTCTACATGGACATTTACAAAACTAGATGAACAGATAAGATAATAAAATAAATACAGTATTTTACAGTTTGTTTGTTGTTTTTTCTAAACAGCTGCCAAAAAGCTCCTCCCCAAAAATGCCCCTCAAACCAACCTTCTGTTAAAAAGCATCATTTTCCAATATGTTTTAGCCTATTGTGTTTCCCCTCCAATTTGTAACATTCTGCTGGAAACAGTGATGAAGAACATATGTCTGCGGTAAATCACACCCAGGAGAAATCTTGGAACTGTTACATTCAGTTTTATTACCCAAGGTATTAAGATAGTCTACCACAACACATATTATTTAACAATTCCATCAAACACAACACCACTAATATACTTTTCCATTATTATGCATGCAAAATATCTTAAATCTCATTGGGTGATTAATGTGTTGCATTTTCACTTTAATTAATAGTTTCAGAATATCTTTAGCCTTTCAATGAAACAAGGTGTTACATAAATGCAGAATGCTATTGTACAAGTATTTTGGAAAACATATGTTCAGGCAACAATAAGGTTGAGAAGCCTAACACTCAACAGCCAGGAAATTGTGAATGCTTACATTTCTTTCACAATATAAGCTTACACGAGTGCTGCACCTTAAGATATTCTGCAGAGGGCTGTAATCATCTAGGCTACATTAGGGAAATCTAGTGTGTCTAACTGGATGGATAGACTAACATCTCCGAGAATCACTTTCTTTTCCACTACTGCAAATACTCATCCAGTTTCACTAGGTAACACCAAAAACCAGACACAGCATAAATACCCTCCGTGCACTGATGAACTGCATCTTTTGGGGAGGTTTGCACTAGTTCTGCAAGGTAGTCACATCACTAGAGATTTCCTATAGGCACAGACCCAGGCAAGCATAAGTAAGTTTAAATTTAACAAGCATAAAAGGAATAAAAGATACCTTGTATAAACCTGGCTATTACCTTGACTGATGACTGGACCTCAAAAGTCACATTTTCTAAAGTTTTACAAGGGTTCTGCATTGTATTTCTCAAGTCACTCCATGGGAACAACAAATAAAACCAACAAAAATGTGCATCTGTCAAGACTGCACATTTCATGCCTTGCAAAGAAGAGGAAAGCAAAAAGCCTAGGCAGCAGTTCAGACCCATGGCTGAGATACGGCTTTTAATTTCAGCTTAAATCAACCGCACAGCCTTAGTACTGTGTTGAGTCCAAACTAAAACCAAAGCATGAGGCACCAGGTGCATCTGGAAGCAGAGCACAAAGTCCTCTCTGTTCAAAGAAACGTAATCATTAATACCTGAAAATGTAATTTAATGCTTCTGTTCTTCAAGTTCCAAAATGAGTCATGCAAAGCCGAGCGCGCCAGCCCATTTCATGAACTGCAAACTGAGACCCAGAGAAAGTTACTTGCTGAATATCATATAGTCTCATTTACTTTATTAGTACTTATTCATCATGTGTAAGAATAACTGAAGCTATAGTTTCTGGTTCTCTGCAGTGTTCAGTCCATACACTGAATGCAGCCATGGCTCAGAGAAAACACACTATGTAATCATGAAATTGAAGCCTGTGCTACAATACACACAGCAGTAGAATGATGGTTGCATGGGAAACTGAGTTACGGGCATTTCTCAACTTTGAAGTTGCTGCTTGGCTTTGCAGCCTACGTAGTATCACTTCTGTGTGCCTTTCTAAAGGCAACGGTGAATCTTGCTGTCGCTATAACCAAAACTGTCCAGTCCTGCACGGCTAGCAGGGTTTGAAACTTAAACCTGCAGCTCTGCAGGTTAAGCTCCTTTAGGAAGAACAAATTGACTGCAGAATGGATATTGAATATTCAGGAACTCGGGTCCCACATGGGAACCCAGAGGCGAAGAGTGAGCCAGCAAGCAGTGTCTTGAATCTATCCAGCAGCTGGCTTACGCTTCTCTCCTGACACATCCAACCTAACATTCTTCCTATCATTTACCTTGATGGAAATCTCAAAATAAGACCATGAACATTTTGCTTTGTTCTGATCATGTCTGAGAGATTCCAAGAATTACTGAAATTGATTTTAGTCTAATTAACTTTTGTGGCCATTTAAGAGCAAAAAAAGTTTTCTCTTGTTTCTAACTTAAAGTCAAATGAGGGCAGAACACTGTAGGTCTGGACCACGACCAGTCCAGATCCGTGCCTGTTGCTAACTTGTGAAAACAGGCCAACCTGTATCTGCTGAAAGGAACAGTCTGTCTGTAGTTCATAGCACGTTCTGCTGGAAGCAGAAGATGTCTCAGCATTATATCCACTGCTGTAGCAAAAGGGAAAATCGGCGCTGCCATCTGTTCCTTGACTTTCAGGCCTGCTACAAAGCAAGCCCTCCTGCTGTGCCTTTGAAAGAAAGATTGCGGCTGCTCCTAGGCTGCTCCTACCGTTCTGACTTGCTTTGCCTCTCAAGCAGTGAGGAAGGTACCTAAGATTCAGAGGGAAGCAGGATGTAGAACACAGGCCTGGCAAAATACAGGTCAAGGAAGAGTAGGTCTAAGGCTGCTCATGTTTTCTCAGTCTTCCCAATTCAACTGTTCAGCAAATACAGTAAATTACAAATTCAGCGAATACCACTAATGCTGAGAAAGCAATCTGTTGCATGAATAAAGGCTTAAAAACTACCAAAGAGACATTCCTAGAAATTTCATTTTATACTTTGCTCCCAAGAAAATCCTTATTTTTGGTCAAGATAGTAAGTTTCACTATTTTTTTTCCCTCTTTCATGAATAAGGAAAAAGAACTGTCATTCCAAATAACATGTAAAAACAAAGAATGCTGATAAACCAAAAAAGTAAGCAAGCAAGGAAGAACACTATCACACACTTGTGCGAAAAGCACAAACACACAGAAATTAAAGGTTGCAAGGACCCTGGCTTTGCGTTATGCAACTCACTTCATAACGTAACAATGATGTGCTTCATCTAGAACCACCTGTACAGGGTCTCGGTGGAATGGAGTTAACATTCTTCACAACAGCTTGTACAGTTTTGGATTTGCAGCTAAAAAGCCATGTTGATAACACAGAAATGCTTTGGCTGTTGCTGAACAGTGCTTGCACAGTGTCAGGGCTTTCTCTTTCTCATAGTCAGATACCCCACAAGACAGAGTGAATACTTATGCCTAAGGAGATGAATGCCATACTTCAGACACCCACCATGCTTCTGACCACTCTGTAAAACCAGACAAGTAATTTTATTTCATAAACTAAAGAATCTTTGTACTGAAACAATCATTCACCTGTTTATCTCCCAAGAATTTGAAAGCAAACACACAGATACTGACTTTTAATCAGGAATCATGCACACTGGAAATCAAGCATACAAGTATATTGATAAAAATTACAGAGTTATTGACAGGTTATGGAACATAAGTCAAGCACAATGTGTATTTTGCTCTTCATTTGTGCTTCTAACTAAATAACCTGAGAGTACAGGGAAGCATCTATGTACACAGGAATGCAGCTTCTCTTTGGTACTCGACTAAAGTTTTAGAGACTTCAAATTTTCCCATACCTTCCTTAGTCACAACGAAGAGAAACTGGTAAAACTGTAATAAAAGGCAAAATATGAAAATGGAGGTTTAAAAATAAGGGGTTGGAATGCATCATATTGAGCAGAAGACACCACTGAAGTTGCGACGGAAGCACCATACAGTGGACAAGATGTGCAGCATGTATTGGAAAACAGGAGGTCAAAAGCCTATAAGAAACCTGGAACGGTGGTGGCCACATAGAGCACTACGCTGCAGGCGCTGTGACCGCGAGTATTCAAATAACAGCACAGCGCAAATATGATTGAACATGTCCATTTCTACAGTAGGAGTCTTTTATCCATTATAGTATTTTACACCCAAAGCAGCAGCAGCAGACCAGTCAGACAACACCTGTGTTTTGAAGTAGATGCGTCCACGGGAAATAGTACCAGGATAACGAACATCAGTATTATTCCACTGCCCTTGAGACTCCCCGCTTAGGCCCATTCTTGGCAAAGGCTCTCAATTGTGAACTCCTCAGAGCATCTTGATTTATGTTCATATGCTCCCTACCTCAAAGATGACCTGGTCAGTGACCTGCTCACTATTAATAAATATTGAGAAAACTGACAGCAGGAAGCGAGATCCCTTCCGCCATTCAGATACACCACCCTTGAGCCACAGTTCATTCATTTTAACAAGTGTTTTTAACAATTATTTTTTTCTAAAATGTGACATCGGCAGCAAGAGGTTAGGGCTTTCCTACTCCATGAGTGCTCATCTAAAAAACGGGTTAGTGTGCTATTTTTAAAGGCAAATGTTCATGTCGTTTCAGCAAAAAGCTCAATGTTGGTTTTAGACGCGTTTCTTCTCCTATGCCAGACAGGCCAGCTCCTTGTATTCACAAAGCAACTGTGGTTCACTGAACATGTTTCCAGAATTAAGTTTGACTTCCCGAGGTCAACTTTACACTGATCAATGAAAGAAATTATGGAAAAGATTACCTTAGGAAAACACACAAACTTAGCCAACCTTTAACAAAAAGAACAACTTGCAGAGCTTTCATCAGACTCAGCACTATTCAGGGACAGCCTGTCAGCATTTGGCACGTATGAACATGGGAGACAGAACAAATCTACAGGAAATCCTTGTGCTTACTCACGTACCCTCAGCACCACAGACGAGTCAAGATGGTTTTATACGTTTGTGCCAGTTCCCGTGTTCACAGCCATCCAATTTCTCACCATGCAAGCAGAATCTTACCTGTTATTTTCTGCAACACAGGAGAAGGCTCTGGCTCATCACAAATGGCCTTGACTAGGGCCTTTTTCACCTTTTCTTCAGCTATGTCCAGCTCTTTTCCACTTTTGAGTTCTCCAACCACAGAATACATGTATACCAGCAAGACAAGGAAGTCCTCGCAGCTGTAATCATCTTTCGTCCTCTCGTTGTAAGACCTGATCATTGGCAATAACTGGTTCAAAACACTGGGCATTTCTGACTCACCAATAGTCTGAAAAACAGAAGGAAGATCACGTCAGATTGACCCTGAAGTGCTTATCAGACATACTCCTGCCTGCATCTGCAAGTGATTATTTCTCGTAACAGCAGTGCTCATTTAATGAAACATCGTTCAATATTTGCATTCTCATTTGTCAGCACATTGTCCTGTGTCTTATTTGCTGCTCAGATAGCAAATTTATTAGTTTCCGACAAGTTTTTTCCTAGGCACTCATGACAGCAGCCTCTTAGCACTTGAAAAGCCTAATGATTAGATCTTCTCCATGTACCAATAAGATGAGAGGACAGGAGCATCAGTCTCTGCGGAATGGGTAAAAATGGTACAAAACACAAGGTCAAATACTTCCTCTAAATTCTGGTCCTTCTCCTTGGGCCTGATCTTGTACTTGAGCAGGGAGTTCAAAGCACAGCTCCCATTGAATTCTCTTGCTATTGTGAGCTCTCAGCACATCTGCAAACCTGAACATATGCTGTCAGGTCAGAAACCCAGAAAATCAGAAACAGAGGGAATCACCTGTGAAGCATGTGGTTTAAGTGACCGGCATGGTTTCCTAGAGGAGCTGTACAACAGGCAGCAATCACGTGCCTGGTATGTGCCCTGGCCCTCTTCTCCCTCTGACTCCTTCACAACACACTCACCAGCTTCTCAAGCCATGTAACAGGGGTCTTTCACAGCAAAAAAGCCTTCTTTGCTAGGCAGGTCAGGCTCGTTCCCACAGCACATCCATGCTACGAGGTGCATAAGGCTTGTAAAAAGGAGACTTCAGACACGAATGCCCTGAAGTGCCACGCTGATATCCACGTCACGTAACATCACGGCTGGTGTTTAGATCCACCCTGCCGGTTTCTGCCACTCAGGACAGCAGAGTGACTAACCCCTGCTGCACACACACACCTGCACATGAAATCTCCACACGCTGGTTTTCTGCTGTGGGTCAGTTTGCAGCTGAGCAGCGGGGTCAGGCGAGAAGCAGGGCCAGTGCAAAGCAAGCAGGAACATCACGCTCCTGGGTGGGGGGAGAGGTGTGGGAGAAGCACGGCCTTCCCCATTTGACAGCAGTGATCAGTAGGATCCATCCAAGACGTCTCCTGCAATGCTACCCCCAGTACCCTGTTCCTTGCCCTGTGATCACCAAGCAGCTCCCTGTGATAACCTTTGGGTCAGTTCATAGCATACAGTGAAACACTGAATTGCCTGTAATCCACTGAGTCAAGTCTGCAAACATTTATTCTTCGTTGTCACTACAGTAACTCCATGTAAATGGACATGTTATTACATGGTAATAACAGCCAACAGTATATCCTTTAAATAGATTCAGAGTAAGTAAACAAAACACAAAACAAACAAACCAGAAGGAGACACAGGTTTATACAATAACAAAATCATGCAATTAAGCTTATCACTGCTTTTAACTGCATTAATTTAGTTTTGAGCTCTTCTGACAACTGAGTAGTTTTTTCTGAAACCTGGGCAGGGATTTCAGAGTCGAACTTTAGTAATATGAAAACCGAACGTTTCATGCCTGGTGTGCTCCATCCAACACTTCAAGGGGTTCTTATTTTGCTTGTATTTTGTTTAGTTGTTCTTTGACAATCTCAGAAACACTAAAAAGCATCTCATAAACTGTAATTTTTACATGTACACCAATCCACTACCAATCTCGATCATAAAGAAAGCATGAATTACTCAAGAAACTTTTTTCCAGCCTGTGCTACAGGAAACAACACTTCTGCGAACTGTGGGCCCCACTCTGCTCCTGATACACAAGTTTTGCCATAGATCCACCTTTCACGGGACTTTAATGTGGCCAGATGTTATGTTTCTATTCAGATACATACCTTACAGAAGAATTTTCTAACTAACTCCATGCTAAACCTAACAGTAAGTGCACACTGTGGACTTGAAGCAGTAAATTACAAAGCTACAGTGGTCACAAGCGTTGAGGAGCCAAGAAGGAACATTCAGCAATCTGGGAGGGGTTGGCACTCTGTGTGTTTGGGCAGGGAGTGTTAAATCACAAGCACAGCAAGTCCAGGCGCTGCTCCGCCTGGGAAGCAAGTCTGTGGTGTTTGGCACCGGTCTGGCATACGCTGGCAGCTGGGCCACCCTCAAGACAAGGCTGTCGGTTCCCAAATTTCAACTGCGCCCTGCCTCAGTTCACTTCTTGAAAAGTGACACAAACAAGTTCTCATCTGTACGCCAGTACAATAAATATTAGATCATCCAGATCCTAAAATGTAAAAAGACGAAACTGCAAGGAATTCAGAGCCACGTAGCTACCAGAAGGAAGCCACCTGCAATGAACAAAAGCATCCTCAGTCCTAAAAATCCAAGAACTGAAGATTAACCTACATGTGGAGTTATTCCAGAAGGGATGACAAACTTCAATCTATATTAATCTGAATTCACTTTCAAGGAAAGGTAAGTCCTATATCACATATCACCTACTGGCACATCATCTGTTCCTCCCTCCCCTCCCAACACACAAACCCTCCAGTTCAACCCATCTCTAAACATCTCATATCTCCTATAGCACCAAAAATGAGTTCGTGAAAAGAATACACCCTTTTGCATGCACAAATTATCCAAATGCATGGAGCACTGAGGATGCTCATACAAATAGTAGGTCAACAGCTCCTGCTTGAGGACAGCAGCTCCTGAAAGCACACGTGAACAGCATCTCTGGCAAACTTTCAAACATACATGATAAAAAAAAAAAGCGTCTAAACTTTCAGGATGATTTACTGAAGGGCGGGCTAAAACCTGACGACTTAAAGCAACAATTGCCACCTCTTATCTTCAAAGTAAAAATGAAAGAAGAAAAAAAAAATTAAAGAGCTATAATAAACCGTTAACTTCAGAACGCACGTAGGGTCTTTCTGGGGTATGAACTTCTTTGGAATGTTTTTCCCTTATCTCTTGGGAAATGGTGCTACAGAGGACTTCAAATGGAACTGCCAAGTTTCAGAGGCTATTTTGTCCAAACAGGCCAGTTGGACTGGAGCACGCATGAAAAAAAAAAAAAGGGACTCACAGCCTCACTGCAGAGCACGGCTCCACAGGGAGCTGGGAAATTTGCCTCAAACAAAATCCACTGGCAGATTGTCATTATCTGGCCACCTCCGATGATTTAGAGGCTCCCTGCACTGCTTAACAATCAATCAATTACCCTGATTGAACAACCCTAAAACACAAGTTTTAAAAATGTAACTACCCATGACCCAAATTTCCTGCTGGTTACGTTGGCCTCAGTTTAGCCCCATTTGTCTATTATCAAGGGAGCCAATAAAAATAATAAAAACAGGTCAATTCTGAGCTTTCCAAAGGCTGTATAAAAACATTAACACAGCTTAATGCAGCGCCAGCTAAGGACCAAGCTCTAACGCCTTCTGCTCAGTTGCATTGTTTGGACATTTTAATGCTATAATCATATATTCTTCAGAATCCAGGGAGAGTTTGTGATAGATTTTTGTTGTTTTCCATCTCGTTGCTCCACCATGCTTAGTTATTTATTTTTATAACTTAAGCTGTGTAGTAATTTACTATCCCTAAGGGTAAATGAACTGACGTCAATTTGCTGATTTTTGCAAAAGAACCAAGTTTTGGCAGATGGGAGGATAGCGAAGAAAGTCTGACATTATTTTTTTCAGTTTTTAAACACTGAACATGATATTGTGCTTCAAAAGTGACATTTAAAATATGATTTAAAGGATCTACAAGAATTAACAGGAAGTGTACTAAACCCAAGAAAAAAATGTTTTGCATTTCTGTGAAAGGCATTATTTTCAGTATTAAATAAACTTGTAAGAACCTAAAGCCATATGTATCACTAGGTATCTTTTACACAATAGAAAACAGAGTGTGCTGGGGAGGAAGAGAAGAGGAGGGTCAGAGTTTACTTGAATTAACACGTGTCCCTGACAAAATTGAGACGAGAACCGAGCACTCTAATCCCTGCGCTCCCGGCCCACTGTCCTCAACACATCATTAAAAATATTAAAGCAAAAATCAACTTCAAGCAAGTGGAATTTATTTTCTTTTAAAATCCAGAAGGAAGGAGGAGATAAATCTTAAGAGACTACTTCACTATGTAAATATTCTAGTGGCTTTCCGCTTAGGAAGCAAAACATGTTTAATTCCTTCAGAGGTCGCATGAGTTAACAGAACTGTTTGGAATGGGAACCACACAGCTTTACAACAGTGAAGAATTTTATTGGGGAAAGAAAAAACTGAAGAACAAACCCAAAATCCAGCTGCAACAGCAAAAGAATCAGTGCAAACTCACAAGCCTGTGGTTCATTTGCTACCCGATCCTTCTGTACCACCCTATTTAATAGAAGCTTCTTTGTACTGATAGGTGGGAAAAGAGGGTTCATGAGTTGTGGGATAAGTGGCTTTTCAATATTGCTCTATCTGATTTGTCATGTTTTACCTGGGTTTCATGTTTTGTGTTTTTGCCACTCAGTGTATTAACTTTCTCACCATTCAGACAAAGGCAGAATATTCTAGCTGCTGAAAGTGACAATGGCACTAAGGGGGTACCTCATGGGTACGCAAAACGCGCTCAGATCCTTTGATGGCAACAGATCTCTGCAGCAGCAGTCATCTCAGCAAAAACGAGAGGTGCTGCCAAGCTAAGGAGGAGCCTTAGCTGCCTGCAGTGCTCAGCTGCCCATAAATCAAATGCTGCAGTTCTGTTACTAGCAGTTCTACACTGTTTGGCCACCCGAGATTTGGGGTTGATAGCATGTAATTTCCATATGGGTGAGAAGATATCTGTACTCCCTACTCTCAGCAAAACAATTGTTTCATGTATTTAGTTTTCATTAAATGGCCTATGGGTGACTAGTGATTTTACATAATAAATCAGTAAGTATGATCTTACCACACAAATTATGTTTTTCCATATGAAGCTCTAGAAATCGTTCTATTTCTTGATTTGGGCAGATTTTGATACAAATGTGCCTTCTCTTTGTCTTCGCTTTACATAT